AAATTTTTTTTTTTTTTTTTACCCCCCCCCCCCCCCCCCCCCCCCGATCTACCAATCTCTGTGTCTTCTATCCATTCATCAATAAATATGGAAAAGTATAATATTTTTTAAATTAAAAATTAAATCAATCAAACACATTTAATTAATCATTTTCATGCAAGTAAATTCTAAAAAATTCAATTACCTAAAATTTATTTTTTTTCCATACAAAACTTCATGCTTGCAATCAAATATACCGTAAGTGTTTGAGATTTCACTAAATTTATTAAAGCGATAAAATAGCCCATGATCCCCAAAACCCTATATCATCAATTTTCTCCAAATAATAAAAATGTGTATCTTTAATTTTTACAATGAAGTTTACTTATTTTTTATTAATTAATTAATAATTAATGTGCAAGAGTTAACAATTCTTAGATAATCAATGAAGCAAATAGGGGTGGAGCCCAATTAGGTCCAGTGCAGGCCTGAACTTTTGGGCCCAACCAAATAATTTTTTTTAAAGCCATGATTCATTACTACCAGCAGCCCAACCCAAGAGTAAACCCAAAATCCAATCCAATATGTCTGAACCATCACCAATCATACATTCATCAGCTGATTTGCGAGAACAGACAATTATGAAGGCACGACGATTTTGAATTTTTTTCTCTCAGCCTCTCACTATCTCACTCTCGTCTCTATGAGCCCTCAATACGATGACGCCTGCGCTACCTTCCTTCCATCGATACCATCAGCGACAATGCAGCAGCTATTCTCATTCTCAAACCTTTGTAACTCCTAACAGTCATCTCTCTCTCTCTAAAACTTATCCTCCACCATCACCACCCACTTTGAGGTCTCTTTCTACCAGCTATACAGTTCTCTTCTATAACGACGAACAAACTTGGTGTAAGGTTTGATTCTTGGTTACTGTCTTTATTGCTGTTATATTACAATAAAATTTATATTTTTTATGTGTAGCTCTTGACTTTTAAGGAAGAAATGAAATACACATCTTTATGAAAAGTTAATCCAGATGTGTAGGATTCATTTGTTTATTTTTCTTTATGTTTTCCATTTGAATTGGTAATTTGCACACGTATGCTGGATTAAGCGACGATTTTACTTTAGAATACTGTCTTAAATGATTGATTTCTTGTTTTTAATGTAATATTTGTTGATGAAATGGGAGTTAGCTAGCGGGCTTTAACTATGTATTGGTAAAACACTTGTTTACGTATCAGAAGTGCGTGTAGTATGATTTGGAGTTGGTTTTTTTTTTTTTTTTTAACTTCCATCTGTTTGGAAACTTAATTGGATGTTGTGCCAAGGCTGAGAGCATTTTGCTTGATTTTACTTGGTAGGCATAGATTGATTTGGGTTTAACTTGTTTTTTTGTTTCCAATTACTTGATTTAGACTTGACTTGAAACCATTCTTAAATGGCAATAATGTTTAAATCCAAATATCAAATAAAGAGATTGTTTTATATTTTTCCCATCATTAAATTCATGATCAAAAACTCAAAGTTCAGTGTCGATTAATTTGTGCCTGCATTGAACGAATTTCTCAGCTTCGCCCCTGGAAGCAACACAATTACAATAGAAGCAACACACAATTATTCAACAGAAGATACCAACCATATTGAACCAATTACAGAGTGCATAAGCCACACAACATAATCCTCACAACCACATTGATCACTCTTCACCATCTTCCTCGATAACCTCAGCACCAACCTCCTTATAATCCTTTGTACCCGAGCAAGATCACCGTCAAGTACAAACTGTGGGTGGTTGGTAGTTAATACCGTACTTGAAGCCAATGGGGCACTGTTGACAACGAGAAATCAAGTCAATAAATCCTACTCTCGAATGAGAGGATATTTATAGATTTTCCTCCAAACTCTTAAGGTAATTTAGTCATCTTAGAGGAATGACAAATGGCGACTTCTTGATAACTAATCATTTAACGAGTGTCATGCTTTACGGATGTATAGCCAGCTTGGACGAAAGAAAAGCTCGTTTCTCGTTATGCAAACCCTTTATGTTTTTCTTCCCTTAGCATATGATTACTTACTTTGCAGGGCATACAATAGAGTTTGCGGAGCGAATTTTTGAAGTTAATAGACACCGATCAACAAATTGGATCGTATGCCTAATTTCTATGGTGGCAATAACTGCATTCACATCCTTAGGCACATCCCCACGGTACATCAAGTAGTAGGCTATGTATTTTCCATGGGTGAGGATACATTTTGCCATCATGAACGAGGGCTTGAAAGTGCTACCGGTAATTTCAACAATTGATAGCTACTCGAAAGCTCCTTTCAATGTATCAAATTTCATTTTAGAGCATACTTTATAGTCTATTAATAGCTTCAACTTAACCATTTGCTTGAGAATGGTATTACTTCTAAATTTTATGATTATGACAAAGCTGTCTCATCCTCTGGTTGTCAAATGGCTTCCATTGTTCGAGATCAAAGAATGCGAAACTTGAAATTTGCATTCTATGTTCTTGCATATGAACTTGGTCGTATTGGCCTGATGATCTGATCACTAGCTCGTCTTAACCCGTTTAGTGAAGTGATCAATAACCACTATATGAACTTGGCCCTAACTTGTCCATTGAGAAATGGACCAACAAGATCTATTCACCATATGGGAAATGACCAAGGATGACACACTAGGTAGCTCTTGAGGGTGAAGTAGAGGTATGCTTATTCTTTTGCTTAGTGTTAATTGTTGAGTTGTGTACCCATATAGTATAGTTTTGCTAATGTAAAAAATAACAATATTATTATATTTAATAAAATTATGTTTACTTTATTTTTTGCATTTATTTATTGTTGAACATGCGAAATTAAATTGTCTGTGATCACTTATGATAATATAAGTTGGATACTTACGTTGAGAAGTACAACGTGATACAACTTATATTTTGATCATAAATAATTTGTTCACAACCTATATATAAGGGTTGACACATTGTACTGAAAGGTTGTAGTATTGACCAATTCGCTATTCGGGTTTGTGATTTGTTCTTATCACAGAAATAGTTAAAGATGACATTAGTACACTTGGAGTGTATTGAACGGATCACGTGTTGAATTTAATTTTATAGCATGACCGTACGGAGAATCAAATTCCACTTGACCACTGTGCATTTTCATCTAAATCTGTTGACAGAATTATGTATATCTTTTCGTGATTTTAATGGTTCTTTAATTCATTAATGGGTAAGATCAATTTGATTGGTCAAATATCTCGATGAGTCATGAACTTGAGAATGAACGGAGTAGAGAACATGCATTCGTGTCGAGAACCGTCACCCTGAAAAATGGGCAAAGTGACTACCTAATATTTTCTGTTGAACGGTTAAAATATGAAATTAGTGTTTAGTGACAGCTAAATTTTGATATCTGTGATTTGTTCACAGAATCGTTGGAAAAAATGGTAGTTAATTTAGTGAGAATAATTAGAGGAACAAAACAATCATTTATACTCGCACCTAATTATCGAATATCAGACGGGGATAAAATACATATACGGCATGTCAGAGAAAAATATTACAAATTTATTAGCTTCTGTGATCTTATATATTCCAAGCGTTCAGTATTTTGCCTTTAGTAGAAAAAATAAAGACTAATAATTGAATTAGGTGGTCTAGGGTTGATTAGACATGATCTAATTATTGGAGTTTCGATAATATATGTCCGATCATGTCCTTGTGATAGCTCTATAAAGTATTGGAATTTAATTACGATAATTATAATGGTTTTGGGCTTAATTGTAATTATAATAGAGTTTGGTACTTGGTTGTAACTACTATAAAAATTGTAAACTTAATTATAATTGTAATTGAAATTCTAGAACTACACATGTAATCAAATGTAAACTAATTGGAATTAGACTTAAATTAAAACTACTACTTGGGTTCTAATTAGAACTCTAGTTTGAATGTAGAATTGTTATTATACTGAAATTGTATCATTTTTTTTTATATAAATAGAGACTATATGGATAAAAAAATACTGTAACACTCATAATGCATAATTCAATAGAATTCAAATTTAGAAAGAGAGAAAATATTTTATTTTTTTGCTTTCCAATTGTCCAATTCAAGAATTAATTAATAGAATGTTCTCACACACCAGTGTAATATTTGCTTTGAAAAATATCACAAAAGGCTTAAAGGTTTAAAACTTTGAAGCACCAAA